TGTAAGAGTGAAACCACTGAGGACAAGTCAGCCTTCGGGTTGCAACAGCAAGAGGTTTATTTAGTACACAGGTACCTGTGGGCACAAAGTCTCCTCGGAGGACTTGCGCGCCCCCATGCTGGGTTTTGGCACTTTTATAGAGCAGAAGTGGGGTACAGAAGCAGAAGCATGGTTATTGGCCCATTCAAACGAGTATAAAGCATGAGGAAGTTAAGTTGCTAAATTCTGGGTGGGTGACTTATGGTACAGATCTGATTTCCTGGTATCGAGCCCCGGGGATTGCCAGATGCAGATGGCTTGACCACTACGTCCTGTTTTTCTGATAAGCTAGTTTCTCAATGCTTGACTTCTTGTCAGGCATTCCTATCAGGTGGCCTCATGGCGCCTAGGTTTTTTTCAGTGACATTTTACAGTGAAGTGAAGACTAGGAGATAGTTCTGAATTAAGCAGATAGTTGGGGAGGAGGCCCCAGACTAGATTCAGCTGTGCTCCAATTACTTACTCATATCCACAATGACCTACTTCTTGTCCACAGTTAGCTCTTTTGGCAGGTTTTTTCCCTTCTAGCGGGAATTTAAATTTTCTGTTTTTGTTCTACCCAATCAGTTTTTGCTTTCACATGTGTGACAAATAGCATGCATCCTGCCCGGTCCAAACCAAAGGGATCTGGAAAGGGGAACCCAGTCCTGTCCCACCTCCTATCCACTAGAATATAAAAGCCCAGACTCTACAGGGGAGTAGCCGCACTCCATCTTTGGGCCCCTTCTCCTTTTGGGGAGTCTGTTTGCTTCAGTAAACCTTGACTGTGTGCTATGACTGCAAACTTCTCATTTTTTAATTCTTTACTTGGCAAAGAAAAGGAGCTGAGAGCAGACCCCCAGCTAGGTGGCATCAAAAGCAAATCTCAGATTTAATTCTTCTACAAGTAGATTTATTAGGAGACAAATATTCTTCATACATCAGTTATTTAATTTGTGTTATCATCTTGGAGTCCCCACTCTACCCTTTTAAGCTTCTGACATTTGGTTAAAGATGCACGGCAGAAGGTGATCAAATCTTAAGGGCAGTGAGAAATCTCTATTGAGAGCTGGGATGCTGGGGTGGTTCTGATCCTAAGGGCAGGGAATAGTTCTGAAGTTCCAGCTTTTTGGCTCTGTTTTGGGGCAACTGGCCCATAAGAGTGGCAGTGTCTTGCAAATGTTTAACAAATGCACAGACCTCTCTATTCAGACCTTGGAACACTTTCTGACATCCATAATGGTAATTGACTAAGCAGAAGTTGCCTCTGCTCCCTTGTATAAGGTTTTGATTAGAGTCTTTCAAATGCTAACTAGGCTCCCCTGGTGTGTATTTTCTTGATTAGTGTACTTCACATGTTAATTTACTGCCCCTGGGGTGTAGATTAAAATTAACTCACATTTTAATCTTTTTGCATAAATTGAAGTATTTTGAAGTAAATGACAGGCAATATGTTATCTAATTTACCCCTCATAACAAGCCTGTGAAGCAGATTTTATTCTTACACTAATTTCTTAGGGAAAAATACTGAGGTTTAGAACATAAGCAAGGTCTCCCAGTTTGCAAATGTCAAGTTTGTGACTCATCCCAAGTCCACATGACTCCAAAACCCATGTTCATAATTACTCAAGTTCAAAGTAATTATTGTAGCTGTAATTTGTTCTGGTACTCCAAATGCTATTTTATTTGGCAACTTATGGAAAGACCAGTGTTATTGTTTAAAGCTATTTTTCTCATTTCAGTGCTCCATGCTTTGAAAACATGGAAAGGAAGACAGTGAAGAGATTCCCAAGTTAGAGTTCCCTGTCCTTTCCAAATAAGGACACACACAAATAAGATCCCCTCCCCCCGAATTTATCTCAAATAGGATGCAGAGTGACTGAGGAAGACACTTTGACTTCTTACATGCATGCACACAGATGTGTGTACGTTCACACACACACACACACATACAGTAGCTACAGGCAGTAAATTATAATCACGTATGGCGTGCCTTTGGTTAGTATTAAAACCTGCTTTATTAAAAATGCTCTTTTGTCTCTTTCTAGAATGTCGTGTCCTGAAGTCCTCCTATTCTCGATCCTCAGCTGCTAAGTATTCTGGATACAAAAGCCCAGGGCCTTCTCGCCGCAGCAAATCACCAGCTTCAGGTATTTTGATCTTAGATTTTCTTCAATTTTCTTAAATTTCTGTGAACTCAACAGTCTTTGCCAGCTCATGTGTAGCCAAGTTCTAAACAAGGATAAGACTTGGAAAACCAAAAACTTAGATCTGACTTCTGAAGTTGTCTCTCAGAGAGACTCTTGTATTTTGTTCTGACACTTTTCTCAAGAATAGCCTTACTATCTAGTCTTCTACTGGTGCGCACATGAAAGTGTTTGACATTTTGACCACTGTATACTGCATTTTGAATTCTACATAATTGTAGATATTTATCTTAGTATCACCTCTGAATGGTACAAAACACATACAGTTCCACACAGAAATATATTTACTTGAAAACTTCAACAAGCTTTTCCTTCATCAAACAATATTGATAGTAGCAATGATTAGTCTTAAAAAGTAGTACTTATTTAGGAGTTAGAATTCTCTATAATTTTTAGATCCAGAACTTGAAGTTTAGTCACAAGTCACATTGCTTTCATATTTTAGCATTAAAAAATTCATAAATATCTTAATATGTAGATTTTATGAACTTATTTATAGTAATTAATAATTTTGTCCATTTAATTTCTTGATAAGGAAATAATTTTCAGCAACAATCCCTTTGGTGGGTAGCAGTGTTCTTGTTACCTCCCAGCCTGTTGCCCTTGCAATTACTGAAGTTTTCTTTGTTTTATAATAAAACAAAACCACGATTTGACAGGGGGTCATCCAGAACATGAAAAGTACCTTAAACTTGTTCAGACACCCCACTTGGCCCTGCTCCCTGGGCAGCACCCACCTCACTTCCTCTAGGGCAGGCTGTGTTCCCCTTCTTTTAGACCTGTTGAGTAACCGCTGTCCTTACTGTCTCCCCCTGCCCTGTGCATACTGCTTGTGTACAGTAAAGAGGGCTGGACTCTCCAGTGCCTATTCTTCAGCCAAATCCCCAGGTGAGCCAGGATCCTTATGGCTTTGTTGCTCTGCTGGGTTTTTGTTTCTGTCTTTTGCTGCATTTCTGTTTCCTTTGCTCCATTTCCATGAATGTACTGGCTTAATCCTGTGGATGTCTGTGAGGTATGAAATGTTTGAAAATGCACAGGCCATGCAGTTTTCCTGCTCACCACAGATCCAGTTATTATCAGGAGATTGCTATATGGCTGTCTGTGTGTGGTTAAAATACAGTGAGCTGGGAGGAGGCAGTCATTTCCAGGGGGAGTCATTCAAAGCATGTTTAGCACTTACTGTAGTTATAGAAAACTGAAAGCCTCCATTGCTGCTGGTACTCCACAGTGATTCTAAAAAGAGCTGCTGTATTTATCAATAGTGTTTTCTCCCCATTCTCTGCCAACAGGAGGCAGAAAATATTGTATCACTACAAGCCACAGTATTGGAAGTAGTAGTGCTTGATTTTTGCAGACTACTTTTGCTGTGGTGCATACCTGCGGACCCAGCTATTCAGGCGGCTGAGGTAGAAGAATCACTTGAGCCCAGTAATTTGAAACCAGCCTGGGAGACACAAGATCCTGTCTTCAAACAAAAGCAGCAAAGATTGCAGGAGAGTAACTAGAATTTCAGACAGAGCTAGAAGCTTTATAAACATATTGTCAATGTTATTTGGGATAGAAGTGCTGCTTTGAGTGGTCTCAAATAGCTAAATACTGTGTTGTAAATGCATAGATAGCAATCTAGATAACATAAATGAGTCAATAGTTAACTGTAATTCAAGTCTTCAGAATTTTGGTTTTAGGAGGCTGGAGAGATGGCTCAGCGGTTAAGAGCACTTGCTGCTCAGGACCCAGGTTCGGTTCCCAGCACCCATATGGCAGCTAACAACCACCTATAACTCCAGTTTCAGGGGATCTAAAACCCTCTTCTGGCCCACACAGGCATTGCACGCAGGAAAAATACTCATAGACATTAAAATAAATAAATAAAATCCTGATTTTAAGGGCTGGAGAGTTGGCTTAGTGGTTAAAAGTGCTTTCTGTGTAGCCACAAGGAATGGAGGTCAGATCCTGGCACTTGCACACTAAGTGTTCTGTGCTTGCCTGTAACCCCTGTTCTGAGAGGGGCAATGATCCTGGGAGGATCACTGAGGCTTGTTGCTTATAAGCCTAGCTAAAAAGCATGAGCCCTGGGTTCAGGGAGAGATCCTGCTTTCAAGGAATGGGCATAGAATGATAGAGCAGGGCACCTGATGCCCTTTTATAGCCTCTGTTGCACATTCGAGTGAGCATGCAGTCATAGAAACACACACACACACACACACACACACACACACAATTTTTAAAAAATCCTTGTTTTACATTTCTAGTTGTGACTCTTTAAACATAGCTTACAAAAATTACAAAGAATTTGGAACCATCAGACTGAAATCCCTCCCAATTTATTTCTTACCTTATAGTTGGGGGTGGGGTTGGGGGGACTTGGGGGAGGGTGAGCAAGGAAGGTGGTGGTAGATTAGGTGTACTGTGCAGATGCATGCGGATCATCTCACACAATTTTCCATGGGCAGCAGTGGTGAGGGATGCTGAGTCACACAGAACTGTCCAGAATCAGAACTCCATTTAGCCTCCCCAAAACATCAAAGAAATGTGCAAGCAAGGAAAATTAAGGACTTATTAGCACTTTAATATTTTTAAAAATTTAAATTTATTCTTATGTATATGAGTGTTCTGCCTGCATGTAGGTAGGTGTACCACGTGTGTATAATGTCCACAGAGGCCAGAAGAGCACATTGGATCCCCTGGAACCAGAGTTACAGACAGTTGTTAGCTGCCATCTGGGTGCTGGGAACTGAACCTGGGTCCTCTGCAAGAATAGCCAGCACTCTTAACCCTTAATCACTGAGCCATCTCTCCAGCCCCTTATTAGAATTTTTAGAACTTTCCAAATGCTATTGATAATTCACATGGCTGTGTTGGTTAGTGTCACCTTCGGATGAGTGTTATATGGAGGGAAATATGAACATGCAGTTATTGACATGGACTAAATCCCTGGAGGTGAGTTTTCTAAGAAATCATTCTTTTAAAATATTCTATTCATTATTTTTATGTGTATGAGTGTATAGCCTACATGTGTGTAAGTGCACTCATGTTGTACAATACCTGTGGAGGTCAGAAGAGGGTGTCAAATCCCGTGGAACTGGAGTTAAGGACAGTAGCCATCTTCTGGGTACAGGGAATCAAACTCGGGTTCTCTGTAAGAGCAGCTAGTACTCTTAATCACTGAGCTATCACTCCAGCCCCATAATAAACCATTCTTAACTGGAGTATATTTTTAGGGAAACCTGTCTGCTCTAGAAACAGCCATGTGAAGAACTAACTTCTCTGTTGGTCCCATTCTGACACCATCTCAGTGGGGTGCTAAATGGATACAAGTGAAAACTCAGTGCTGTTTATGAGCTGGTGACTCATCCAGATGGTCAAATAGGATGGAGGTTAAAAGGAAAGGGAAATTCAGTCTCCACTCACAGCAAGTGTTCTAGTTTATTGCCTATGATAATGTCTATTGTATGTGAATCCCCCTTGAAAGAGAGTTTTTAAGTTACTGTTTTTTTAGAGCAGTTTTAGTTTCATAGCAAAATTGAGCAGAATATTTGGGTTTCCTGTGTAACATCATTGCAGCATCCTCATGAAAGGGGAACAGTTGTTACAGCAGTGGGTCATTATCACCGAAGGCCCATGACTTGCATCAGTGTTCCCTCTTGATGGCTGTGATTCCATGGTTTGTGCACATGCCCATTATTGTGTCATGCCAGAGTAGTTTTCTTTCCTTAGTTCTCTGTGCTTTGCCTTGTAATGAAAAAGTTTGAGAAGGCTTCATGAGCTAGTAGTACAAGCCCTTCATCCCAGCACTTGAGAAGCAGAAGCAGGCCTATCTCTGAGCACAGTCCAGAGTAGTCTACATACAAGTTCTAGGCCAGTCAGGGATACATAGTGAGACCCTCTTAGAACAGTTTAAGAGGACATTAATTAGGATTGGGGAGATGACTTAGCCAGCAAAGAGCCTGCTGAATTCAGTTCCAGATCCCATGTAAAAAGCCAGATGCAAGCCTGGGTCTATAACCCCAGTACTGGAATTGATGGTTGACAAAAGCAGTGGCAGGCAAACCCTGGCAGCTCACTGGTCAGCCAGCCTAGCCAGATCTGTGAACTCCAGGCCCAGCAAGTGATCTTGTCTCCAAAACTGTGGTGGAGAGTGATTGAGGAAGACACCTATTGTCGATTTCTGGCCTTTACATTTACATGCACAACACATGTAATACACATATGCCTATTTACCTGTATGCATATATGCACACACACAAGAACACATACACATATGTACACACACAGGCACAGGAACATTTAGATAACTAAATGGTTTATAATTAGGAAAATTAAAGTTTGGATTCTTTAGTTTTCCAATCTATTGACTAAAAAAAATGAACAAGGACACTGGAGAGATGACTTAGTGATTAAGAGCAGGCATTGCTCTTCCCACATCAAATGTCCCACAACCACTTATAACATCCAACTCCATGAGATCTGATGCCCTCTTCTAGCCTCTGTGGTACCTGCATTCACGTGAACATTCCTACATAAAGACATACAGATACACACACACACACACACATAATTTTAAAAAATCTTTAAAAAATAAAAACAAACAATATAAGGAGTGAAATGACTTCATAAATATAGATATCCCTGTTTAGAAATAATTGATCCTAATAACAGATGCTGCTTGGTCTAGAATTTCTGCCTCAATTCAAAACAGGTGCTTACTTGAGTAGCTCATTCAGGACCTTTACCTCTGCATTTGGATTTCTACATTTATTAATATGATATAAAATAATATTGTTTCCTCCCTTAATGTGTAAAAAAAAAGGCAAGTAGACTGTGCTTTGCTTTTCATAAGAGTGGATGGCAGCTTTTTTCTACTTTGGGCAGAAGCTTTAAAGATTAATATTAAGAGGGATGATAATTACTCTTAGGAGGAAAAAAACCACACTGATCCAGATATTCACTACCAGCTTTGTGAGATCACTGCAGAAACAGGTATAGATGATGGAATTAGGAGTGTATGGGAAGGGTACTGAAATATTTGACCAGAATGCTGCAGGATACAATGTGTGAATTTACCTTCCTCTGCAAACAGGAGTGACCATACCATTCCTAGATAGGTGCCAGTTCAAGCTTTCAACCAAAGAATACAGAGCTGTGGAAGGGAATTTTAGAAAGCTACCAACATGGGGGCTGGAGAAATGGCTCAGTGGTTCAGAGCACTGGCTCTTCTTGCAGAGGACCTGGGTTTGATTCCCAGCACCCACATGGCAGCTAACAACTGTCCCTAACTCAGTTCCAGAGGCATCTGACACCCTATTCTGACCTCCTCAGGCATTGCACAACCAGGTGCACTTATACACATGCAGGCATAACACTCATATACATTAAGAGTAATAAATAAAATATAAAATAAATGAAAAAAGAAAGCCACCAACATTTGCTAAAGAATGGAGAAATTGAACTGTGAAGAAAATAAGCTGGGGCTGCTCAGATGGATCACTGGTTAAGAACACTTGCTGTTCTTCCAGAGGACCTGGGTTCGAGTCCCAGCACCCACATGGTGGCTAACAGCTGTCTGTAACTCCAGTTCCAGGGGTCTGATACCCTCTTCTGGCCTCTGTGGGCTTTGCATGACATGGATGCACTTACATACATTCATACATATAAAAAATAAAAATAATAAATTAAATATTTTTAATAAAATCTGGAAAGATTAGAAATAACTTGCTTAGGGGGTTGGAAAGATGGCTCAGCATTTAAGATCCCTTGCTGGTCTTGCAGAGGACCTGGGTTCAGTTCCCAGCATTTACATCAGGCAGCTCATAGCTGCCCATATCTCTAGTTCTAGGGGACTGGACACCCTTTTCTGACCTCTGCAGGAAGTAGCACACACATGGTACACATACAGACAAGCAGGTACACACACACGAATAAAAAATTTTTAGAAAAGAAGGAATTATCCAAAAGAAAGAAGTTAATATCTTTTTGTAGCCTTCAATGAAGTAAGTAAATATTATGTAGCTTTTATTAAGAATATACTTAGGGCCTGGCCGGGCATGGTGGCACATGCCTTTAATCCCAACACTTGGGAGGCAGAGGCAGGCAGATCTTTGTGCGTTTGAGGCCAGCCTGGTCTACATAGTGAGTTCCAGGACAGCTGGGGCTACAAGGAGACCCTGTCTCAAAAAGAAAAAAAAAAAAAAAAATTATACACACACACACTTAGGGCCAGATGTGATGGTGCATGGCTTTAATCCTAGCACTTGGGAGGCAGAAGCAGGTAGATCTCTGTGAATTTGAGGCAAGCCTGGTCTATATAGTGAATTCCGGGTCAACCATGGCTACACAATGAGACCCTATCTCAAAAAGCAAGCAAGAAAGCAAGGTTAGAGTAGGGATGTAGTTTAGTGATAAAGCATGTGTTTAGCATGTGCACTCATTTAGATTACAGTCGTGTTGATTTGAGAGACTCATAAGAACTTGCTGGTAAATTCAGGTTTGTATGCATCAAGATAGAGGATGGATATTGGCAGTTATGTAACAGCCTTCATCATAAACCGTGGCAAACATAACAGCCAGTCATTTGTCTTTGTTTTCTCGAAGTCAGTTGTATGGACAGGTTCTCACTCACATCTCTAATTCCATTGTGTGTTTATATATTTGTTGATATCATTGTTGGAACACTATTACTGCAAATAATTCTAGTCTCATTCCTTGTCTGAATTTTTTGTTTGTAATACAGTGAGATACATTATTTTTGCTTTTTGCTGATTTGTCACCTGCTTTGAGCTTTGAATGAATTGAAGCTTCGTTGGAGCCGTTTTGTGTTTATGCTTAATGTTTTCATATGGTTGGGTTGTTTGGGGTTTTGATGACTGTCGTCTTTGTTATCTCCTGGTCAGTTAATGGAACTCCAAGCAGCCAGCTCTCCACTCCTAAGTCTACAAAGTCCTCCAGTTCCTCTCCAACTAGCCCAGGAAGTTTCCGAGGATTAAAGGTATGAAATAGGGTATGCAGCTTGTATGTGTGGTTTTGTTACTTAAACTGTGCAGTGTGACAATTTGATTTGTTTGTGAGTTTGAGTGCAGTAACTACAAAAGACTTAGGAGTTTAGGATTGGGAAGAGGCAGACCTGACTTTGAATGCTGGGTCCTGTTGGAATTTTATTCAGCTTCCTTTCCTCCTCTCAGCCTAGGTGTTTATATCCCTGAAATGGGAATGTGAGGTTGTAGTTGGGGTTAGACATAATGTGGTAAAAGTATAATGAATACTATTCCAATTACTGTCAAAATGATTTGCAGTGGCAAAGCCTTGGAAAACACCATAATTCTTTTTTTGTTTGTTTGTTTGTTTCTTTGATTTTGTTGTTGTTTGGGATAGGATTTCACTATGTAGCCCTGACTGGCCTGGAACTCACTATATAGACCAGGCTGGCCTCAAACTCACAGAGATCTGCTTGCCTTTACCTCCCAAGCTCTGGAATTAAAGGTGAGTGCCACACAATTTTTTAAAAAAATCTTTTGCATAATGATTTTAATATGACATATAATTTGACTTTGTTGAAGTCTCACATAGGGTGAAATATCAATATAACAATTTATACCTATAGGCAGTAACAGAAGAAAACCTTGTACATTTTTGGTGAGGAACTTAGACAGATAGGCATTGACTGTGATGTTCTGAAAATACAAACAATAACAGCAAGATTAGTGGTTGGCATATTAGCAGTTATCTCACAAAGAGGGAGATTGATGATGCACAAAGATGAATTTACAAAATTTTTGCAAGTTTTATTTGGTTTGGTAAATCTCAATGTTTTAAATTTATAAAAGCAGCAGTAAACAATTCAGGTTAAATATTGAATGTTTCCTTTATTAGAGCAATTAGGCTATTTACATTTTAAAGTACTTAGAATACCAAAGTACTGAGGACCACCTGTATGATGTCGGGTCTACCTTGGTAATCAGGAATGCAGTTTCTAAAATTGGTTGCTTAAAAGGCTCAATACAGTCCAAGAAGTTTTTCTTTAAGAATGTTGAAGAAAAGTTTTGATTATTACAATGAATGGTAAGGGCTCTACCATTGGGTAAGGAATAATCTGCCAAGCACAGCATCTGGATACCTTCAAGGCAGCGCATGAGATCTTGGTTCTCTACTTCCCAGAGGGTAGCACTATCCATGTGAGTATAAGCTTAGCTTGCCCCACCCTAAGAAGGATGTGTGCTTCTGAGTACTCTTGGGCAGTGATTGTTTATGTCCCTATGAATAAAAAGAGAAATTGTTCTGGGAGAAAGATGGTCTGGTTTTGTGCTTTCTTACTACAAAATACTATGTTCCTCAGTGAAATGTGGTACATAGGTTAAGAGAATGCATAACTCTTACCTATTACTAAATATTGGAAACTCCTTACACTTACTAGAAGACCCAGCCCTATGTGTGGTGGCTCCCTGAAAGATGGCTGAGTGTATACAAAGCCTGAGTACCCGAGAATCTGAGTTCAGTTCCCAGAGCTCACATGGTTGAAGGAGAGAACTAACAAATTGTCCTTTGACCTTCACACAGGTGCCATGGTGCATGCATGTGCACGTATACAATAAGCACATGTAATTTTAAAAAAATTTAAAGGCACCTTTGAGGTACTAAATTGGATTTGACCAGTTTATACTGTGGTTAAACTCCACTGTCAATTCCTAAAAATGAAAAAAGTTTTATAAAATAAAAATCCCTAATCAGCTAAATGTTTTCAGACTTCTTTTTCCACTTATTTTTTCTGTGGTAGATTGGAAATATAAAACACTGTTGTTAAAGGAATTTTCAAGAGAACTATAAGTAAAAAGGATTCATATTAATGCACATTTTTGCTAGTTCAATTAGCGTGTCATTTGTTCATTTAAAGCATGTGGCTCCTACTGTTAATGTTTACCTGGGATGACACAGCACCAGCATTCCAGTGGGTCACAAGCAGAAGTCCTTCGTATTTCCCCCAGGCAGGGTCTTCACCTGAGACTGCATGTGGTGGCCATCAGGAGGGCACCCCAGGCCTTGCTTACCCTGGGTCTTGTCTACTTTGTCCAGATTTTAATATCTTTTAGTAACTTGGGCTCTCATCTTCCTCGTTAGTCCATTCTGAGCTCTGAACTCAACAAGAGTACCCTTTTCTGTTATTACACCAGATCGGTTGTTGGTCCTTTGTCCTGGACATGCATCTATGTCTTCACATGAGTGCACACACTTGCACAAGATCATTTGAATTTATGGAGTGGAGACTTTAAATTTTTTATTACATTTATTTATTTATATTTACTTGGCTTTTACACATGCACATGTTTGTGAGCACTGGTCCTTGCTATAGCACTTGGTATAGAGATCAAAGGACAACTTTTGGGAGTAAACTCTCTCCTTCCACTGAGTGGGTTCTGGGGATCCAACCCAGGTCCTCAGGATTGACAGGCACCTTTACCCACTGAGCCACCTGAAGATTTTTTAAAACATTGTAATAAATTGTATTATTAGTGAAACCTTATATAAACGTGTTTCTTCTATGCTAGGTGTATCTTAATTACTGTAACAAGGAACCCCATCATGTAGCAATGAGAAGTGTTCAAGGGTTAGTTGGACATATGCTGAAAGTTAAAGGCACATCATCTGTTGATTAAGGAAATGTCCATTACCTGTCACTATTGACATTGAGATGCTAAGTCAAAAAGAGTGGACTTTCCATACCCCACCCCTTTCAGCATGTCCCAGTCTTTGGCTTTCTTCTGGGTTTTCTCATGTGTTCTCAAGGGGTGGTTGATTTTTTCAGTGACCTCCAACATGCTAGATTCATACTGGATTCATAGTTCTTCTAAGTTGCAAACAAATCCTAAGAAGCCAGAGGGTCTGTTTCTTTTTCTCACCTTACAGGTGGTTGGAATCCTCTTAAAGATTCGTAGATAAACCTACATCTACCATGCTGATCAAACTTTTAAGTCTCATGTCCAATGCCTCTCACTGGTACCTGTTCTCATAGTTTCTACTTTGGAAATTTCATCCAGTTTTCAACAGTCTGTGCTGCATACTTTCATTTGGATGAATGCTTGCTCCTCTAGCAGGTTTATAGTCCTGTCAGTGTACTGTACCATGGACCCTAATTCTGATGTCATTATAAAGCTCTAGTCAGTATCTGTCTGTGCTTTGCATTTTTTCCTCTTCAGTGACATTACAAATGGAGAATTGCAGTTAATCACCATGTGTTAGTGCTATGCTTTTCCTTTCCCCTTCATTTAGAATAGCTTATTAAGATCAATTCGAAGGGCAAGTCTGACAATGGGGGACTGTTTTTCATGGGCAGTAATTATTTATCCTGGTTAGACGCTTTACTGGTTTTAGGGATGGTAATCTTTCCCCAAAGAATAAGAGAATTGACAGAAGCAAGCATACTGAGCCAGGGCTGCAGGTGCCCAAGTCTGCACTCCATCTCTCCTTGTGCTTTCTGCTGAGTTTTCCTCTCTAGGGAATTAAGTGATGTGATGCTGGGGGTGTTTTGGTGCTCTATCACAATTTATACCCCTTTGGACCAATTTCTGGCAACTATATTTGTATTTTGTTAGGAACTTTGAAAGAACTCAAAATAAAGCCATATGTATGTTATTCTCCTCTGAGCACAGAATGTTCACATCACTTTTATATGCTTGTTAGAAAATATTTAAAAAATTATTAAATAATGTTTATTTAGGCTAAAAATAGCCTTTCTCACTACAGAACCATGTATGGTTTTCTTAGCACCCCTTGAAGAGGAGAATTCTTCTCCATTCGTATGCAGTCATGAAAGATCACACTCTCTGGAGAACTGGACCAAATCCAGTGCAGGAGACAAAATGTTCTTCAAATTGTCAGCAATTTTTGCAGAGTGAGGAGCTTAAAATAATACAGTGGTGGCCACTTCCTTGCAGTTCTTCAGATCCAATATTGAAAGTTGTCAGGGCAGGGGCTGGAGGGATGGCTCAGCAGTTAAGAACACTGGCTGTTTTTGCAGAAGACCTGGGTTTGAATCCCAGCACCCACATGGCAGCTAACAACTGTCCATAACTCCAGTTCCAGGGGATCCGCCAGCCTTTTCTGTCCTCCATGGGCATTGCATGACACCAGTGCACTTACCTACATGCAGGCAATACATGCGTATACATAAAATAAAAATAATAAATAAAAATATTTTTTAAAAAGTTGTCAGAGCTGGGCGTGGTGGTGCACATCTTTAATCCCAGCACTTGGGAGGCAGAGGCAGGCAGATCTGTGTGAGTTCAAGGCCAGCCTGGTCTACATAGTGAGTTCCAGGACAGCTGGGGCTACAGGGAGACCCTGTCTCAGAAAGACCGAAAAAAAAAGTCATCAGGACAACTGAAAGTGTACTATGTTAGTCAGCCTCCTGTTGCTATAGCAAAACACCTGGAATGGTCAGTTATAAAGAGAAAATGTTCAGTATTTTGGAGGTTTCAGTCCATGGTCATGTGACCCCATTGCTTTTGGGCCTGTGGTCATCTAGTACATTATGCTTACCTCATGACTAGGGAGCAGAAGGAGAAAGGAAGGGACCAGAGTCCCACAGTCCACTTCAGTGGCACTCGCCCAGTGATCTAAGGTCCTTCTTCCAGGCCCCACCTTCAAAATGCTCTACCTCCTCCCATAAACCTGGGTGTGGTCTGTAATTCCAGCCTTCAGTAAGAAAGGCAGGAGGATTAGAAGTTCAAGGACATCTTCAGCTATATATCAAGTTCAAGGCCATCCTTGGAGTACGTGAGACTCTTGTCTCTAAACAAATCAAAACTGGGGCTGGAGAGATGGTTTAATGGTTAAGAACACTGATTCTTCTTACAGAGGACCCAGATTTGATTCCCAGGACCCATATGGCCGCTTGCAACTGTCAGTGACTCCAGTTCTAGGTGATCCAATGCCCTCTTCTGACTGCCTCAGGCATAGTACAACTCAGGTGCATTTACCCACATGCAGGCAATACAC